TGATTCTCAGCAGCTTTTCCCCACTCCCTTCAGCCCTCATGGCCAAAGAGCAATTTCTGCAAATTGGTGAAAAATTCTGGGCTTGTCTGGGCAGCATTGTACCAATTCAGTTACAGAGGTGAGGAAACCAGTGCCCAAGGTTTCATAGGCACTCTGCTTTGGGAATAAGTTACTCTTAAACCAAAATAAGAACGTCTATACATGGGTTTCTCTGGTTTAATCAAACCAGTGCAAGTTTGTGTGTCATCCAGGGCTTGGGTTTCACTTAAAAGTTAGGTAGGCATAGCTGAATGGGTTGGGTATGCCAGTCTGTCTCCCAGGTGTGCTGACAGAAGAATGAGTTATTATCTGGGGAGATGGTGTTTGTGCACTGATCAAAAAAGTCCTTCTATCAGTGTAGCCTTCACCTGTGCTACAGGGTTATGTTAGCAGGGTTATGCTATACCATTATTATAGGCTCTATAGCCTAGACACACCCTAGGGCCGGAGGTCCACTGTGCATCTGCATGTCTGCCATTCAGGCAGAATTCTGAGGCGGTTTTCTAACAAGCACGACACCTGTGCCTTGTGAATTGCTGCAAGAAAGACAACCATCCTAGCAGCCTGCTTAAATGGATCAGCATGAGCACCTGAATCCAGCCCACTCTGCAAGGTGCCTTTAAAGCAATGTGATGTACGTAAGTGTTGCCTTGACCAAAGGAGGAGAAATTCTAGTATCTCTGAATGAGCAGCTGCTTCTGCTGAATTAGAATCTTTTACTGGCGGGTTATTTTGCTTGGGACATTTGACTCATTTAAATGAAGTAGATGGCAAAACATTGATCAGTGAAATGAGTTTTACATGAGCAAAGTCAATGGGGGGGGAGCAACTGGAAAAGGAACAACTATCCCCTGTCATTGTGTGACCTTTTCAAGTTAAATGTTTTTGGGGACTTGACAACTTGCCCTGTTGGCACCATGTAAGTACCCGAGGGGGCGTCTTTTTGTATCAAAATCCTGAAAACAGTTTCATATGCTGGCAAGTTTCACTCATCTTAAAGGTAAATGAATTGAGTTCTATGCATTGTGTTGGGCATATTGTGGATGAGACCTTAGGACTGCGCTACCTGGACATTAAAGACCCCATGTCTCTTTTCATAAGAATAGTTTGCTCTGGTGTCATTGATAAAATTGTCTCCTACCATTACTAGTGTAAAGCATTTCTGTGTGCTGGTTTGTTACATGCTCCACACTGCTTTTCAGTGGGCTAATAGAAATACTAAGTCAGATTCATGAGGAGCTGAAGCTGTCAGGATATGGTCCAGTTTGTGAAATGCTTTAAAACCCTTCAGGAACAGAAGTGCTAAAATATTATTGTTAATTGATGACCGATTCAAATAGAAAAGGGGTAACTAACAGCAGGTTCCATCTGAAAGTATTTTTATAATGTATTTATGCCTAATTGGGAAAGTTACTAAGGACACACAAAAATGGGCTGTTGTTAATTTCTGTGGACCCACCAGCAAACTACTCTAAAACTCTACAAAAACTCTGCTGATTTCTTTTGCCTGTCACACTATATGAGAATCATTTGTTATGACTCCTCTCATCGTAAGACAAAGGTGTATGTGAGTGAATGCATTGTAGGCCTGCTGCAAAAAACAAACATGGTTTTAAATTTTGCCAAGCGTGAGCTTCCCACTGGGGACAATTGACCAGACTGATCATTGGAGGCCCTGAAAGGCCTTGCATAGGATGAGCATGACAGCACAACTAGATGGTGCATATAAGTACAAGAGTGCCATAGTTTCATTATTGTCTGGCTAAGTCCAGCACAGCACAGTTCCTTTTAAACCAGTTCCCCCCAGCACTGGCTCCTGCTCCCCTCTCTCCCTTTGTTGCCTCTGATATAGCAAGGGGTGAGGAGAGGCTGAGGGAGTTGGGTCTGTTTAGTCTGCAGAAGCGAAGAGTGAGAGGGGATTTAATAGCAGCCTTCAACTTCCTGAAGGGAGGTTCCAAAGAGGCTGGAGAGAGGCTGTTCTCAGTGGTGACAAATGGCAGAACAAGGAGCAATGGGCTCAAGTTGCAGTGGGAGAGGTCCAGGTTGGATATCAGGAAAAACTATTTCACTAGGAGGGTGGTGAAGCGCTGGGATGGGTTACCTAGGGAAGTAGTGGAGTCTCCATCCCTAGAGGTGTTTAAGTCTCAGCTTGACAAAGCCCTGGCTGGGTTGATTTAGTTGGGATTGGTCCTGCCTTGGGCAGGGGACTGAACTTGACGACCTTCTTGGGTCTCTTCCGGCTCTATGGTTCTGTGGTTCTAATAGTCAACTCAACTGCCTAGGCTTATCAAGTAGTTGAATATTCAGCTATTCTTTTACATCCTGCTCAGGATCCTTACAACACTGTGGAATCTCAGATTTAAATAGCTTTAATTTCCTATGACCATAAATTTGACTACAATGGACTCTGAATTTGGGTCCTTCCTATAAGCCAAACCAAAAGCACATCCCTTTTTTACTCCATACTCTTGAAAATATGTGAGTAAGTCATTGCTCCGTGTAAAAGACTTTATTAGAGATTAACATTAACTACTAGTTCTGGAATGCTGCAACCTTATGCACAGGCCATGCACTGCCTGAAAAATAGCCGAATCCAAGTCACTATTTTGGGCAGTGGCAGTGGCCCTTCTGTGCACAGTTGCCCGGCATTTCCCATTATTGGACCTTTTTTTCAGTTGGCTTATGACTTCCCTAAAATGTAACTGTTCAGAGTGAAATGTCCATGTCAGGGGGCTGCCTCGGGATGAATTACCAATAGTTTATGAAAATGAGATTAGGAGATAATGTTGTTTTGCCCAAATAAAATATTTTGTACAGTTAAGTTCTAATACCCCCATGCTTTGGAGCAAGGACTTGAAATTTGGCAGGGCCAAGCCTGTTGCTATTCCTATGAAAAATTGCCTAAATTTGGTTAAGTTCTGAGTCTCGAGAGTTCACTCCTGCTCAGTAAAAGTGATTTAGAGCTAGGTGTTAAATTCTTCAATGAAACTTTCTGGGCTTGCATGCTCCCAGCTCAGTACCGCTGTGACTGACCAGGGCTTTTCCTGCATTTGTTGCTCTAGGCCACTATAGCCCTGGGCACTGGAACGCAGAGCAGACACTCTGCTCCCTGGTTTCTCAGTGCTCCCCTGTTGGTGTCCAGGCAGCATTGGAGACAAAGGTGCTTGGCTCATGCAGAAGGGACAGCCCATCAGTCCATGGCATTTAGTGTCAGGTGCAGAGGGGTAAATTGGGACATCAGAGCAGGATGTCGGGGGAGAGACTGGGACTGTCCAGGTGAGTTCACTAGGACTGAGAAGGAACCAGAATGGGAGAACAGGAGGGGATCACATGGGGAGAATAAGGGCATGAGGGCTGTGACCAACAGAACACACACTTGTCTCCAATCTGGAACAGAACTCAGGCGTTCTGAGTCTCAGGCTACAGCTGCACAACAGTGCTTGCAGCTGCACCAAAGCACAATGGAGCTGACAAAAGTCCCCTGAGGTCCATTTCAAAAGATCAGCGTGTGGCGATCTTTTGACCTTTGCACTTGGGGGATTTTTTGGAGACGGGAAGTTAGGGAGCAAGAAAATTGCAGATTCCACGACAAAGGAGTTGCAGCAAGTTTGGGGTTTTTTTTAGCCTGCTGCCCTGTGAGTCCAACCGGATAGAACAGTGTTTCCAGCCAACCAGGAGCAGCAAATGCAGCTGCTTCAGAGCAGGGACTGACTGCATTGGCACAGGGTTCAGACATGGGTGTGCGTGCCCCAACGGGGAGACAAGATACAAGTACCAATACCACAGGGACAAATCTGGTCCAGTCCCTGCCCCCTGTGGCACCATCCTTGTTCCCTTCTCTGGATGAAGCCATTCTGCTCCCACTGATGAGTTTAGAGCACAGCAGAGTCTATTAACAGGTATGGTTGCTAATTTGGGCCTCCAGGCACAGGAGGCTGCAGAGCCCACGGACATAAAAGTTTGTGTTTTAGCTTCAGCAGCCTTGGGTAAAGTGGCACGTCCTGTGCACGCAGGGGTCTGGAAGATAACCAGGGTCCTAGAGCAGACCCCACCTGCCATACTGCTCATGTCCAAAGAGGCAGAAAAGAAAACTTTGTGCTGTGGATTTTGACTGTCTATACATCCACCCATCCCCTGGGTCATTGTTAGCATCCACAGCTAATGAAAGGAACAGCAGAGCCAGGCAAATGCCTAAAAATAAGGATGCAAAGAAACTTGCTGCATTCAGAAAAAAAAAGTGAATTGGGCAACCAGTCTCCACTTGCATGTATTGAACTGCCACACCTATTTGGGCGGCTATACGTATGTGAACCCCCCTCAGCTGGGGACGGGCTGTAAGGTCCAATGACCAGTTCCACTAGGGCTCCTCTCGTCTGTCGGGACATGCGGCCTAATGGCCAACGTCAATAGGGCTCCCATTGACTGCAGGATAGTGTGGCCTAAAAGCCGAAGTCCTGGTCTGCCGCCCCTCGAAGTGGAGGGTTGGGTAGGTGGGGGGCTCTAGGCCTTACCTGCTGCACCAGGTCCCAGCCCGGGGTCCTGATATGGGTGATGAAGTGTGCCGCAGTCTGTGGGGAATCTGCCCACCACACCTGACTGCTGCGGGACACTGGCTAATCCCTCCCTGGGCTGCTTCCTACCATGGCTCCTGTAGCTGAATTAAGGTGTCTTCAAGGTCTTGGGGTGCTTCCCTTGATAACTTAAATCTCCCTGTGGCATCCCTGGGAGACTGCTTGGGCCTTGGGGGTCTCCTGCTCCCTCGGTTTAGGTACCTGGCTGCTCCTTGGCTGGAGCTGGCAAGGAGCATCCTTCCTCCTCAGTGGTCCTCAGGAGCCACCCAGCATAGTTGAGGAATGTGGCTTCCATTGCTAACACCGTGGCCTTAGCCCCTTCCATTCCAGCGTGGGTGCAGTACCCCGGTCAGGCTCTCAGTTCACAGCTGGTCGGAGGAAAGCAGTGACAAAGGGCTCCCTACGGATGGCCTGGGATGCAGCCGACTGGGCAGCCAGGGTTGTAGCCTCTGTGGTGGTGCAGTCCTCAGGACTCTCCATCCAGGGCCTCCGGTCTGAGGAACATGCTTTCTTCTCGGAGCAGGCCAAAGGGAGGTTACATGAACTAACGGCCTGTCGGCCCAGGCCCCACTTGCTGGGCCTTCACATCCCACAAATTACTTAGGAAGCAGTTCCAGCTGGTCTGCCGCCCAGATCCTGGGGACCGTCACAGTAGAGTGCCTGTGGAAAGAAGGATCAATGCCATTATCTCACTTCCCTCTTTCCAGCTCAGTCCAGCCCTGCATGACATCATGGGGGCCGTTGGCAGCCATTTTGAGTGTGCACTAAAGCCTGGCGCCCAGTCAAACTCCTGGACACATTCTCCCTTCCCCCCTTGTTCTCAAACCATTGGTGTCTCTTTTCTTGTGGCTGCATGGCCCCAAGCAACATTTCTCCAGCATCTCCTCTCTTCAGGGACCCTTATGAGCAACTCTTTGTGCAGGAGGTGGGGACCTTCCTGCACCAGGCGAGCAGTAGAGAAATAAAGGTTACTCACCTTGAGCAGTGTCTGGATGTTTTCGGGACGCGTGGCCCTGTGGGTGCTCCATGGCTGGTCTTGGCGCTATCCCGGCACTTGGATCAGAGATTTTGAAGTGGTTCCTGTGCAGGCCACACACGTTCGGTGCTGATGGCGTTTGCCATGCAGATCAGAACCACACATGCGCAGCCTGAGCCCTCCTGCTCCGTCTCTGCGTCGGAGATCCCCAGTCTCTAAAGCAGAGGGAAGGAGAGTGGCCATGGAGAACCCAAAGGGACACTCATCTCAGAGAATTCCAGTCGCTGCACAAGGCGAGTAACCTTTGTTTCTTCTTCAAGTGCTTGCTCATGTCTATTCACCGTAGATGTGTGCGCCTGCCACATGCACCAGGACCGGACGTTTTTCCCTAAGCAGTCCTCACAGGGGCCGGGATCCCTAGCACCCCCTGGAATGACTCACGCATACTGCACTACATAGAGCTCCCCCAAGCCCCGCCCCTCTCAGTTCCTTTGTACCGCCAATGACGGTGCTTGGAACAGCATGCTCCAGCCCTGGCTATAGCAAGCACTCACTTTGCAATCCTGACAGACCCTAGCGACTGTCCAAATGGAGCACTTCCTGCATCCACATGTGCTATGAGTCGGCAGGGCCCAGCCATTTGAGTTGAGTAGGGCCCACTCCACCAGCTCTCAGGCTTCCTTGTGCACCGACCTTGTTCAAGTCCCGATCCAGGACATTTGTCGGGACACACACTCACGTTTCATTACACCATCGCGCAGCAGGCCAGGGAGGACGGTGCATTTGGCAGGGCTGTACTGCAGTCTCGTAAATCCCACCCCCCTCCGCAGACACTGATCCAGTCATCTCTGCTGAATGGACTTGAGCAAGCACTCAAAGAAGAAACAAGAGTTACCTGGTCTGTTCTTTGAGATGTTGCTCATGTCCATTTGGCCTCCTCCCCTCTGTCAGAGTTCAAGCAAGAAGGAACTGAGGAGGGAGGGGTCGGACTGTGGCATGCGTGCATCACTCATAAGAATATAAGAACGGCCATACTGGGTCAGACCAAAGATCCCATCCAGCCCAGTACCCTGTCTGCCGACAGTGGCCAGTACCAGGTGTCCCAGAGGGAGTGAATCGCACAGGTACTGATCAAGCGATCTCTCTCCTGTCATCCAGCTCCACTCTCTGACAGAGGCCAGGGACACCATTCCTTACCCGTCCTGGCTAATAGCCATTTATGGACTTAACCTCCATGAATGTATCTGGGTCTCTTTTAAACCCTGTGATAGTCCTGGCCTTCACAACCTCCTCAGGCAAGGAGTTCCACAGAGTAACTATGTGCTGTGTAAAGAACTTCCTTTATTTGTTTTAAACCTGCTGCCCATTAGCAAAAATATATGGAGGTATCCCTATCTCAAAGATCTGGAAGGGACCTTGAGAGATCATTGAGTCCAGTGCCCTGCCCTCACAGCAGGCCCAAGCACTATCCCTGACAGATTTGCCCTGGATTCCTAAATGCACCCCCCACCCCCAGGATTGAATTCACAACACTGGGTTTAGCAGCCCCATGCTCAAGCCACTGAGCTAGGCCTCCCCTCCAAGGCAGTGGTCTCCAACCTTTTTACACCCAAAATCACTTTTTAAATGTCAGGGCAAAGCCAAGATCTACCCCGCCCCTTCCTAGAGGCCTCGCTCTCTCTCCGTTCCCCTCCTCTCCATCACTTGCTGTCCCCAGCCCTTCCTCACTCTCCCTGGGTTGAGACAGAAGATGCGGGCTCTGGGGTGGGAATGAGGGATTTGGGTGTGGGAAGGGTGAGAGGTGCAAGCTCTGGGAGGGAATGTGGATGCAGGAGGAGGTGGAGAAGGGGATGCTGGCTCAGAGAAGGGGCCCTAGGCTGGAGAGTCTTGGGGTCAGATGGAGGGTTGGGGTTTATGAGGGGGGCTGCAGACTTGTGGAGGTGGGGGTGCAGGAGTTTGGGTTAGGGTATATGAGGGGTTCAGGGCAGGGGGGGCTGGTTGTATGATAGGCTCAGGATACAGGTTTGCAGTGTGTGGAGGGTGCAGAAGTGTTGTGGCACAAGACTGGGGATGTGAGGGTACAGGACTCTGGGAATGTGAGGGGCTGAGGGCAGGGGGTTCAGGTGTATGATGGGCTCAGGGTTGGGGGGGGGGGTTTGGGTTAGGGTATATGAGGGGTTCAGGGCAGGGGGGGCTGGTTGTATGATAGGCTCAGGATACAGGTTTGCAGTGTGTGGAGGGTGCAGAAGTGTTGTGGCACAAGACTGGGGATGTGAGGGTACAGGACTCTGGGAATGTGAGGGGCTGAGGGCAGGGGGTTCAGGTGTATGATGGGCTCAGGGTTGGGGGGGGGGGTCTGTGGGAGGTGCAGGAGTGTTATGATGCTGCAGCCAGATGGGGTCTTGGCCCCAAATGGGGGTTTGTTGGCCATTTTTAAATAAAACATTATGTCCAACACAAAACATTTCAGCGTTGTCTTTATTTATGGGGGGCAGTTAACCTGTTTTGAGTCAGGGACCACTGACCCACAGAAAAATCAGTCGGGGAACCACACGGGTGAGATGCAAAAAAACCCTCCAAACCCCCCCAAGCCTCACTGATGTGACCCCAATTGAGACACCACCCTCCCCTCGCACTCCAGCCCCATAGGGAAAGGGTAGGTAGGACTGAGGTGCAAGGCCTCAGGCCAGATTAACTATTCTGGGATTCCAGGGTTAGTAGATTTTGTGGTCCCCTCCACACTCTGAGATGGGGGCCAAAAAAAGGATCCATTGTGCATGGCAGGGCTGCCAGTGAGTGAACTAGGGAGGGAGGTGCAGAATCTGGGTGAAAAGTACAGGCGCTAGATAGTGTCTGGTCAGGAGGCAGGGTGCTGGTGGAGGTTTGGCCAGGGGGCAGTG